TTAGGTTCGTGGACTCGTTCTTGAATCGAAGGAAACTAGATCCGACTCTAGTTGATTGAAGATTGCATCATCGAGGTACTTAAAGCTACAATGGGATTCTTCCAAGTCTTTGAGGATTCGAGACAAAGGGTTTCTCGTGAGGTTTAAGGTATTTCTATCCATCTCTATCTTTACATTGTGAGCAATTCTTGGGACAATACTCATCTTATTTGAATCTTGGCCAAGGTTCATATCAATTTGGTATTCAGAGCCTAGGTTTATCTCATTATCATTAGAAATTTGGTTTCTTTGGTTCCCTAGGTTTATCTCGTTCTTATCTTACATACTACTTTTATTCATGTCTTATTCATTAAAAACCCCCCAAAAAAATTTCCTTTGCATTCTTGATTGTGTTCTTGAATCTTGATACATGTTCTCCAGTTTCTTGAAAAACAATCCCGAAAGAGTTTTCCTTTTTTCCCGTCCAATATCAACGAGACCTCACACCTCCTAAGCACCATATTACCTCATATTCTGTCAGGAAAATAACCCCATCTCACCCTTACCTATATCCAAAGCGCATTTACGCGCAATTACGTCTCAATCACAGCCTGTCCAGATTTCCGCGTTCTGTGACTAGTTTCAAAGTATGACTTATATCTCGAGATCCACTGGTTAGTTTTATCCGAAATTTTGATATGTTGTAGATCTCTTCTGGGGAGTTCTTTTGATATATTATATACGTGCTAATTCCTTACGGTCATTGAGATATTCATCTTCGAAGTAAGGGCAGCGTTTCTGTTTTTCTGGGTGATTCTTGAAATTCTTGATTCTGTTTTGAAGGTGTTGTGTGGATCCTCTTGGTCCGAAATTTTTGTTGATATTTACAGTAGTTATTTGGAGGTTACTTATCAAAAAAAAATCAAAAAAAAAATCAAGAAATTTGAAAAAAAAAAACAAAAAAGAGAAAGCAATAAAGAAGAAGAATAAGGTTGGGAAAAGAATCTGGTTGGTGGGAGAATTTTGGAGAGAAAAGGAAGGGGAGAAGTATAAGGTTGGAAGGAGTTGTTGATACATTCCTATTTGGTTGTGGTACACTTGAACCACTTTTACATTCTATTTGTGTCTATCTTCTGATATTGGTCCTACATATCTTTCTGCCATACTTCTTTCTTTGCTTCCCTTTTTCTTTCAAATCTTTCTTAGTTTCTTTGCTTGTATTGTCCTTTTTTCTTTTCTTCTTGCTCTCAATTTTATTACCTACCTCACGATACACCTTACTCTCAAAGGCTTGTGAAGTTTTCCAAAGTACGTTTTCTTGAACTTTGAGGTTGAATCCATATCAACTTGAGTTCCGGACTAGAATTTTCCTTTTTGGAAAAAGGCTTGTGAGAGTATCTGCCACCTTGAGTGATACACGAGTGGAGTGTATGTTTGTAAGAGTGTATAGTGCACCCCCAGAGCCATATAATCCACCTCTTACCTGCGAGCTGAGAATAGTGAGGGAGCGAGCCAACTTTTTGGTTTCACTAACGTGATTACTCACACATCTTCTTGTTTTTTTTTTTAGATATTTTTTTTTTCCTATACAGATGGCTGATCAAGTTCCAAATCTTCCCCAGGCATTAGAACAAAAGATAGACAGGTTACTCAAACTAATGAATAATTTGGAGCAACGCTCACACCAAGTGCAACCACCACACAATGATGAGTGACACCTGCCATCGGCAGGAATAGTGGATCCTAGATGTCAAAGGATCCAGCAGCATAATGCGGAGTTAGGAAACATTAAACATGAAATTCCTAACTTCACCGGTGAGAAAGGACCTACTGAATACATAGAATGGGAGAATGCTGTTGAAACTCTTTTCCATTTAAAGCACTATTCTGATTTTACAAAAATTAGGCTAGTTGCTACATCTTTTAAGGGTTATGCATTATCTTGGTGGCAAAAAAGAAATGGAGAGAGAGTTGCTAATTTTATTCCTTATGAATCTTGGGTTCAAGTGAGGGAAGATATGCGCCTAACCTTTCGTCCTAAATTTTTTTTGTATGATCTTGAAAGAAAATTGCAGGGAACGGTGCAAGGAACAAAGTCAGTTGATGAGTACCACCAAACTATAAATATTTTGCTTAAACAGGGAAACATACATGAAGAAGATACAAAAACTGTTGCTCGTTTTGTACATGGATTGAACTTAGAAATTCGATGTGGAATGAGTATTCAGAGATATAACACCCTTTATGATGCCTTGTATGCTGCACGTGAATTTGAGGCAAAAATTAAAGAGATGAAAATGCACAAGTCCAACAATATTGCATCAAGATGGAACAACACTTGTTCCACCCTTCAAAGGCGTGATGAAAATCCTCCTCCAAGAGATGATTCACGAGACAACGGTAAGGAAAAGGTAAGTGAGGCAGTGACGCCTCAACATGATAGAGAAATGATTTGTTATAGATGTAATGGGAGAGGCCACATAGCCCGTGATTGCCCTAACAAGAGGGTAGTTAAGATAACAACACAATCTGAAAAATTTACTTCTTGTCTTGAATCTGAGGATGAGGTATGTGACTATTTTGAAAGCCCCAATGAACATGTTGAGGGAGAACCTTTTATACCTTTAGATTTTGATTCTAAATATGCTGATAGTGAGTCTAGTCATACTCCTGTTGTTAAGGATGTTTTGAATGTTCACCCTATAAAAGAAAATGAGTCTCAAACTAAAAATATATTTTGTGCTAACGAGTCACTTAGAGGGAATGCTTGTACTGTGGTAATAGATTCTGGAAGTTGCACAAATGTGGCTAGTGCAGCTATGGTTAAATTTCTTCAATTACATTTTCTTAATCATCCAAATCCTTATTGTTTGCAATGGTTAACTGATGCAGGAGAAGCTAGAGTAACCAAACAGGCTCTTATTCCTTTATCTATTAACAGTTACTCTAATGAAATCTTGTGTGATAATATCCCAATGCAGGCTGCTCATATCTTGTTAGGTAAACCATGGAAATTTGATAGAAAAATAAGTTCTGATGGAATGAGGAACACTTATGTGTTTTACATGAATGGGGTTACATATGTCTTGCCTCGTTTGTATCCTAAACAAGTAGAAGAAATTCAATCGACATTGATGCAAGCTCTCAAACTAGCCTCAAAGAAGGAAGAAATCAAAGAGAGAAAAGTGGAACCTCCATGTTTGGAATTGCAATCACCACTCCAATCCTCTAACTCAGTTTGTAGCCAAAAAAAGGGATCACAATCATTGATACAGTGGAAAGGACCAGCCCAAGGTGTCAAAGTGCAAACACCATACATGCAAGAGAAAGGAAGGGGAGTCACTTTCTACTCACTTTTATTTCAAAAGCATGCATTAAAATTCTCTAGATTTCTTTGCCATGTTTCTATTAATGGCCAACTTGCTAGATGTGTTAGAAATTTGTTTGCATCCATACATCCGAGATTCCCTAACTTTGATTTTACTAAAACTTTATTTGATAGAGATAAGGGATCACTTGGAAGTTATAAGGCACATTTGAAAACTTCTTATGGCAAATACTACTTGCACAAGGGGTTTTGGTTCAAAGTCAATGGGATTGACACTTTTAGCTTTGTTTTGGGCAATGATTTAATTGTTGATTCACATAAGGGACAATTTGATTTTCCAAAGAGTGATGATGTTTTGCATGTATATTTTCATTTTGTTGAACTATTACCATTAAAAATGTTTAAATTTCATGCTGTGTCATTAGACTTAATTCCCTTACTTGTTGATTGTAGGATGATAATTGGAGCTACTCGTGTCAAGCATCCCAAGAAAAAGTTCCATGAGCGTGATAAAACACAAAGTGAGCTTGCTAATTTGTCTTTCATTGAAGATTTGGATTCGAGGACGAATCCTTTTCAAGAAGGGGAGAATAATAAGAACCAGTACATATGGAATCCAATAAGGGTCTATAGTGGACTCATCACAAGGCCCATAACTACATCCTTAAAGAATCATTGGTGGAAGAAACAAGAAGGCCCAATAATAATTCCATTCGATAGAGGAAAGTATTATAGTGGCCCATTTCAAGTGATATCATGGATCGAAGACAATTACAAGATTCGAGGTCGAATCATTTTCAAGAAGGGGAGGATGATGCGGCCCAACATAATGAAGACCCATCAAGAGTACCAATTACAAGGCCCAAGTCCAAACAATTAAGACAACTCTTCATTGGTGATATTCAAAGATGGCGGAAATCCAAGTCAAGCCCATTTGAAAAGATGAAGAAGAATTCAAGGCTTTTTATAATTGTTTAAGTGCTGATTTTGGTGATTAAATTAGGCCCAAATCAGCCCTATTATTTTTGGTCATCATTAATTTAAATTGTTTGGCATAAAAGAGAAAACACTAGTTGTATTTAGAAAGGATTCCTTAAATCATTTTCTAAATAAAACTCTATTTACTTGTTTTCTAGATTAGGTTTAGGACTCTTTTTTCCATTGCATTTAGAATTATAATGCTGCCTACCTATAAATAGGGCACATCCATATCAGTTTCAGGGAGGCTTTAATTCAATAAAATTCTTAAGTTTTTCTTTACACTTGTGTAAGAAACCTTATGGCTAATTGTGGACTCAATTAGTGGCTAGTCGTGGACTCGACTAGCAAATTGATTCGTGGACTCGAATCAATCTTAATTTCTTCAACCTTAGATTTAGGTTCGTGGACTCGTTCTTGAATCGAAGGAAACTAGATCCGACTCTAGTTGATTGAAGATTGCATCATCGAGGTACTTAAAGCTACAATGGAATTCTTCCAAGTCTTTGAGGATTCGAGACAAAGGGTTTCTCGTGAGGTTTAAGGTATTTCTATCCATCTCTATCTTTACATTGTGAGCAATTCTTGGGACAATACTCATCTTATTTGAATCTTGGACTAGATTCATATCATAGAGGCTGACTACAACCGAGTCATGTAGTGGCAGAAATGGCGCACCGCCAAAATCGATACTCTGCTTGATACAGCCGAAGCAATGAAGGAAGAAGAGAAGTTTGCCCTAGAGTGGGTTGGCACGAAAGATGTCTATGAAGCACTCCGTCTTGAAAAAATTCGACGAGTGTACTCTTATAAAGTGACCAACCGCACTCTCGGAAAGGATAAGGCACCCTTATGTCAACAAACCTCCCTTGGATCCAGCGTTTGAAGAAGAAATGAAGGAGCTTCGTTATGCAATGCTCCTATCCAAAATCAAGACTGACTTAGAAAAATCGCACTAGAACGATCCCAATTGCGAAGGTAGTGGATCAAAGGACGAGAATGGCAAAGAAATAAGTGATGAATCTGATAAGGAAAAGGAAGATGAAGCAAATGAAGACACTGATGATGCTGATGCAGACAATGAGAATGATGATGATGACGATGCTGATGATGATGACAATCAGAATGGGGGTAACACGAACAATCCTCATCAGGACCACAATGCAGCAAATCCCGAAGAATCATCATCACACAACTCTCCCTCCCGAAGTGATGACAAAAGGGAAGCATCACTCAAGGCTGACGAAACTTCACACACTCAACCTGAAGACTTATCTCGAGCTATCGTCCCCCATGTTCAACCAATGGACGAAACTCCTATAAAGAGAGAAGATGCAATTCCTCGTGAGGACAAAATGGATGCCTCACCAGTCTTCATAAGCTCAGCAAGTGGTGGCAAAATGGAAGCACCACCTCAAGCGGAACAAATGGACACCTCTCCAACAAATATTGAAGAAGAATCTCCACCGGTTTCTCCACATCATGTCATGAATCTTATGAGAGAAACTATTCACACAGCTGAAATAATCCACCGAGAATACCTAACGCTTCGTCGAAGGGACACTCAAACCTTGGAGGACTTATCTAAGAAGGTGGATCAACTGATGGCAGCTCAAGCTCAGTCTCATCCTCCACCGCATGAACAACCTCAACCACCACCACAAGCTCCACCCGAACAGCAATCTAATATCCACCTGGCAAAGGAACTTCATGAACTTCATGCATCTGTCGACAAGGTCGCAAAGCAACAACACGAACTCAAGCACTCGCATTTTAGCCTCAAAGAGCGTGTTGATTTAGCTTGCAAAAAGATGGAGACTGCACATGACAATACCTTTCAAATGGGTCAGTATTTGTATCAAATTCTTTGATATGTGCAAGATACCTTGGCTGCAATCAACAAGTTGTCCACTCCTCCTACTACTTGCGCCGATGATGCCAAAAAGGGGGAAAAGAAGAACCCTGATGATAAGGATGATGATCATCCTAGGGACAACACGAGAAATCGTTCGGATGATGATCATCCTAGGGACAACACGAGAAATCGTTCTCCATCTTTTGCACAGAAAGATTCTGAAAGAAGAAGCACGTATCCTCCACCTTCCTGAGATCATCAACCTTCTCAATCAAGATATCACTCATCTCGTGGACGTGGTCATCAACAGTCACAATCCCAACACCATTCTATCAAGCCTCGCCAATCTCTCGGCTCTGAGTCCAAATACATCTTTACTAGGTTGTCAAAGAGACAAAAAACGAGTCTAAGACAAAGGCTTATGAAAGATAGAAAGGTAACAATGGATGGCGTGGGAAACTTTCACTACTACAGAAAAACGATATTACGTCGCCTAAAAAACGTCAGTTTTTGACAAACCGACGTTATATGTCTATAAAATAAAGTAAAAGTAATATATATTATTTACGACGTCGGTTCTTCGAAAAAGCCGACTTAAGACGTCGGTTATTAAACTAACCGACGTCGTATGTTCTAAATAAATTTAAAAAAAAAAGGAATTAAAGACATACGACGTCGGTTCTCCAGAGGACCGACGCCGTATGTTATAAATAAAATTAAAAAAATATAGACTTTTTCTTATTTAGCACGTACAGATCTGGTTTCATCGCACACTCTCTCTCACTTTCTTCATCCCTTCTCAGAAGCATAAAACGGAGAAGAAAAGCCATCATCTTCGTTCTTTATCCCATCGTTCACCATGGTCTTCTTCATCCATTCCTACAGGCTACAGTACATCGTCTTCTTCGTCATGGTGTACCAGCAGCAGCAGCAACTTGCAACTCCAACAACGACGACGTAGATCTACTTTTTCCGGCGACGAGCGAACTTCCAGCTTGGAGTGGCGACGAGCTATCTCCGGTGACCACGACTGTATGGCGACGAGCGTTCTCCGGGGACCATGATTCTAAGGTGATGAGCGTAGCAGGTCCGGCCGTGGATGTTAAGAGAGGTAACGTAGCCTATCCTAGCGCTCTCTCCCTCCCTCTCTCCTTTTCCGGTAGCTTTACATACATAGATACATACATGCAGTAGTTATACGTTTCCTTAAAAGTCCTGCCGTTGTTCTTTGCACCGCAGCTTCCACTTTAGAGCTTCAACGAAACTCAACATCTTCTTCGGGAATGATTGGCCGTAATATGAACGAGTATGTTCTTTTTTTTTTTTTTTTTTTTTTTTTTACACAATCTATCTCTCTCCTTCTCTCTTTCTCTGTGTATCGTATCACTTCGATCTACAAATATAGCAGTATTTTCGATTGAATCCTTCGATCTACTTATATTTTTTATTCATGCTTTAAATTTTCAGTTGTATGCTTTAGATTTTCTATTTTATGCTTTGATCTATTTTTTTTTCTGTTTGATGCTTCAGTATTCCTTTGCCTAAAAATTGATTTCCGGTAAATATTGATTGCTTCGCTTTACAGTTTTTCTTTTAATTAAAATTTGATACGGCGTCGGTTTTTCTATAAAGACTGACGTCGTATCTATATATATTTTCAAAAAAACAAGATATGACGTCGATTTTTTCAAAAAATCGACGTCGTATCTCTATTTTTTTAAAAAAAACCAACATACGACTTCGGCTTTTTCAAAAAATCGACGTCGTATGTACTTATTTAGAAATTAAAAATAATATACGACGTCGGTTAAAACCGACGTCGTATAATTTATTTACGATGTCTGCTTGGTCTACGTCGGCAAATAACCGACGTCGTATGCCTAAAATAACCGACGTTAAAAGGTGTTTTTGTAGTAGTGTTTGTGGATTTCATACCATATGAAGAAGGGAGTGGGAAGCGATTTGAAGGTTGCAACGTTCCTGTGTGGATGAAGACAAAGGACAACCACACAAGACAACATCATATAAGCTCTCAAAATGAAAGGATCAAAAGGATGAATCGAGCGCTATGGGAAAAACATGATGAAGAAGTTCATAGAAGAGAAGAAGAACTTCAGGAAAGAGGGCGAGTAAAAGAACTGATCAAAGATCTCACGAAAGTAACCCCGAAGTTCTGAGCACGGAGTTATCTACAATGCAGCTTTCAAAGTACATGCCGAATCAGGAAAAAGCTACACAGAAGGAATGAATTCTTTCGAGCTTATCTCGTGGTGGAAATTAGGAATTGTTGAAGGAGCAAACATTCTTGAAGCCTATAAAAACTACATAAGCCTCAACATAAAGGGAAAATATGAAGATCTGATTAGGGAGAATCAAATCAAAGTGTTCAGAAAACGAATCAATGAAGAGATTGAGATCGACAGAATGCTCAAGGAGCAAAAGGAAAGAGACACTCGTGAAAACATGGAGGCTAAGCAGCAGAAGACGAAACTTTTGGAAATGTAAGATGTTAACTTTCTGTTCTTCTGAAATTTTTTGTAAGTTTATCTATCTATATGAAAATTTTCGTTGTTACACATCTCGTGTTACTTGTCTGAGTTACTTGTCCGTGTCTTATTTGTTATTGGTATTTATCTAGAAATGACTTGTAAACTCTCAGTAATGGCTGTTTTGAAATAAAGAATCCTTTATAGGACTTTTATCAGCATTATAAGAAGAGTATAGGTTTTGGCATCATCAAAAAGGGGGAAATTGTTAGGAACACTTGTATTAGGATTTTGACGATACCAATGTAACCTAGAATATAGACCCCTAACCTTTGCTTTTGTTTAATCGCTGCTTTTGTCCTAGACGAGAGTTGTCATAACTCACACTGTAATTCGTGTTAAGCTAGTCAAACTCACGAAAACGAGTTATGCTTAGATGTTAGGGCTATCAAGACGAAAGAAGATTCAAGGCACGAAGCATGAAGCGTCTACAACGAAAGTTTATCAGGAGTTGTCATCTACCACAAAGAGACAGTCTTATTTATGACAATCCTTCAAGCATTCTTCCTTTCCAATAGCAAGAAGAATGTCTTAACTGTCTGACTTGACAACATCCTAGGATCAAAAAGGACCTCAACATATGGGACACGCATACCAAGGAGCATTAAATGAAGTTGTACTATTCTAAAGCTAAAAGACAAAACCCCAAGGCTATCCATGCCATCAACGGCTACAAGGTACAAAACCCACTAATGGAGCATTTAACGCGGGAAGCTCCCAGGTCCTTACCCACTGGATATTAGGTTTGAAAATTTCATCTCCCTCCAACGGAACTTGAATTGGCTCCCAATTTCAAATTTCAATGGCTCCCAACTTGAATTGATTCGATTTGAAACTTGCTCCCAATTTCAATTAATCTCAATTTCTCTGAAACTGGCTCCCAATTTCAATTGCTTCGAAACTAGCTCCCAATTTCAATTCCTATGAAATCGGCTCCCAATTCCCTTTGAATTGTCTCCCAAGTGCAATTGCTTCTCAATTGCCACTCAAGTGAAATTGCTTCCCAATTTCCACTTGTAATCGGCGCCCATAGGTAGACTAGCGCCCAACTCCATCAAATTTAATTTAATTTGACTTCTCAAATTTTACCTTGTAAAATTGTTGATGGTGAGTTTCAAACTTGAGCCATTTCGCATAATATATCAAGCATCATCTACTTCGTCCGTACAACTATTAAGTAAATCTCCAATCTTCTTTGATGTACTCCTTTCTTTCCATAATTTCCCGATCATGGTCTAAGACTCTACTAGACCTATAAAATAAAATTGGGGGATCTACAAATACATATTTGGCATATCAAAACCAGTACACTTT